GTATTTTGGCACGGCAGGCACCGTCCCCTGCACCTCAACCCCTCCGTTTCGGCACTGCACTACCGCCCCCCCGCATCCCGCGCGCCCCGTCCGCATCACCCTACCCACCAGCCAGCGCGCCCCTTCCGCCCCGATGTTTTTTTCATTTCGGCACGGCACCGCCCCCCCATCCCGAGCGCCCCCTCAGCATCACCCCACGCACCAGCCAGCGCGCCCCCTCCGCCCGCCGCCCCGACCCTTTATTTCGGGCACGCACGGGCCCCCTCCCATCCAGCGCGCCCCCTCCGCCCCCCCCCCACACCCGCCACCAGAGCGCCCTCTCCGCCCCGACCCCTTTTATTTCGGCACGGCACCTCCCCCCCCCCCTCCCGCGCGCCTCTTCCGCATCTCCCACCCACCAGCCAGCGCGCCCCCTCCGCCCCGACCCTTTGATTCCGGCACGGCACCGCCCCGCCCCGACCCCTAACTATAGGCCTTCCGCATCCCCCCACCCACCAGCCGGCGCGCCCCTTCCGGCCCGCGCACCCTCCGCATTACCCCACCCACCAGCCAGCGCCCCCTCCGCCACGACTCCTTTTCTTTCGGCACGGCACCGCCCCCTCCACCGCGACCCCTTTTGTTTCGGCACGGCCGCGCCCCCCCCCATCCCGCGCGCCCCCTCCGCATCACAACGCCAACCAGCGCGCCCCCGTCCGCCCCGATATTTTCATTTCGGCACGGCACCACCACCCCATCCCGACCGCCCCCTCTGCATCAGCCCACCCACCAGCCAGCGCGCCCCCTCGGCCCCGACCCCTTTTACTTCGGCACGGCACCGCACACCGTCCCATCCCGCGCGCCCCGTCCGCCTCCCCCCACCCACCAGCCATAGCGCCCCCTCCCCGCCGGCCCCTGTATTATCTTGCACAATTGTGTTCTAAAGATCGGACCTCTTCATTTTCGCTCGTCGTCGTCACCCGGGTCCTGGCCGTGGACCCAGCCTCCTCCCCTGGCCCTGGCCCCAGCACCCCTCGCCCAGCTGGCCCTGGCCCTGGACACAGCTCCTTCCTCGGCCCTGGCCCCAACCCCCCCCTCGTCCACTTGGTCCTGGCCCTGGACCCAGGCCCCCCCCCCCTCCCCTGGTCCTGGCCCCAGCCCCCCTTGCCCCGCTGGCCCTGGCCCTGGACCCAGCCTCCTACCCTGGCCCTGGCCCCGCCCCCCCTCGCGCCAGACCCTTTCGTTTCGTTCGTCGCCGTCCCCCTGGTCCCGGCCCTGGACCCAGCCTTCCCCCTTGGTCCTAGCCTCAGCCCCCCTCGTCGTCACCCCCGTCGTCCTGGCCTTGGACCCAACCTCCCCCCCTGGTATTGGCTCGCCCCGCTGGCCCTGGCCCTGGCCCTGGACCCAGCCGACCTTTATTTTCGCTCGTCGTCGTCCCCCTGGTCCTGGCCCTGGACCCAGCCTCCCAACCTGGTCCTATACTCCCTGGTCCCGGCCTTGGACCCAGCGTCCTCCCCTGGCCCTAGCCCCCCATCGCCCTGGACGCTTTATTTTCGCTCGTCGTCGTCGTCGTACCCCTGGCCCTGGCCCTGGACCCAGGCTCCTCCCCTGGCCCTCGCCCCAGATCCTTTATTTTCGACCAAGCCCCTCCCCCCCAGGCAGGTCCTGGCCCAGCCTCTCTCGCCCCGCTGGTCCTGGTCCTGGACCCCGCCTACCCCCTGGGTCCTGGCCCCACCCCCCCTCGCCCCGCTGGCCCTGTCCCTGGACCCAGCCTCTCCCCCTGGCCCTGGACCCAGCCCCCCTCGAGCCTCCCCCCTGGCCCAGCCTCGGAAAGTCTACCGCGCGTCAGCTGTCACAAAAACTCAGTCGAGCAGGTCCCAATCGACAACCGCTAATTCAGCACTGGGGCGCCCTGGCCCCACATGCCCCTCCTCCTCCTCCTCCTCCTCCTCCTCCTCATCATCATCATCATCATCATCATCATCATCATCATCATCATCATCATCATCAGCATCATCATCATCATCCTCATCATCCTCATCATCCTCCTCCTTGTCTCATCGATCCCCCCACCTGCGCCTCCCTCCTCCTCCTCCTCCTCCTCCTCCTCCTGCTCCTCCTCTTCGTAATATGAACACAAGTATGAGTATGATAATTAATTATGTCCTGCTTACTCATCTTATTACTCCGAGCGTTAGTAGTATTCTTTATTAGTAGAACTAGTAGTAGTATCACTCTTAGTATTAATAATAGTATTAATATTAGGATTAGTGTTAGTATTAGTATTAGTATTAGTATTTGTACTAATACTAGTACGAGTGCTAGTACTAGTACTAGTACTGATAGTAGTATTAGTATTCGCAGTAGTATTAGTAGTAGTAGTAGCAGCAGCAGCAGCAGCAGCAGCAGCAGCAGCAGCAGCAGCAGTAGCAGTAGTAGTAGTAGTAGTAGTAGTAGTAGTAGTAGTAGTAGTAGTAGTAGTAGTAGTAGTAGTAGTCGTAGTAGTCGTAGTAGTCGTAGTAGTAGTAAGTAGTAGTAGTAATTAGTAGTAGTAGTAGTAGTAGTAGTAGTAGTAGTAGCATTTGTAATGGTGTATTTGTATTTGTATTAGTAAATTAGTATTAGTATTAGTAATTAGTAGTAGTTAGTAGTAGTAGTAGTAATGAGTAGTAGTAGTTAGGTATAGTAGTAGTAGTAGTAGTAAGTAGTAGTAGTAGTAGTTAGTAGTAGTAGTAGTAGTATCGTATAGTATAATTAGTAGTAGTAAGTAGCAGTAGTAGTATTAGTAGTAGTAGTAGTAGTAGTGGTAGTAGTAATATTAGCATTAGTAATAGTATTAGTATTCGGATTGGTATTAGTACTAGTAGTAGTATGAGTATTAGTTTCAGTATTACTATTAGTATTCGTATTAGTGTTAGTAGTAGGAGTAGTAATAATATTGATAATAGATAATAATAATATCAGTACTAGTACTAGTATTACTATTAGTATTAGAATCAGTCTTAATATCCGTATTCGTATTAGTATTACTATTAGTATTAGTTTGAGTACTAGTATTAATATTAGTAGTAGTGTGAGTGCTAGTATTAGTATCACTATTAATAGTAGTATAGGTATCAGTGTCAGTATTAGAACTAATATTTGTATTAGCATTTAGTATTGGAACCAGTATTAGTACTAGCATTGGAACTCTGAGAAGTAATAGTATTAGTATTCATATTAGTATTAGCATTAGAATTAGCATTAGCATCCGTATTAGTATTCGTATCAGTATTAGTATTAGTAGTAATATTAATGTTCGTCTTAGTGTTAGTGTTCGTGAGAGTATTAGTAAGAGTGATAGTATTCGTGTTATTATGAGTATTAGAATTAGTATTAGTATTAGTATGAGCAGTAATATTAGTAGTATTATTAGTATGTAGTATTCCTATTTAATACATTAGTAGTAGAATTCGTATTGGTAGTAGTATTAGGATTAATACGTTGTGCATTAGCATTCGTATTCGTATTACTAGTAATATGAATATTAGTGTTAGCATTAGTATTATAATTAGTTGGGGTATCAATATTATTAGTAATACGAGTAGTAGTATTAGTACAAGTATCAGTATTAGTATTCGTATCAGTATTAGCAGTAGTATTAGTATTACTACTTTGTATTAGCATCAGAATTAGTATTAGCATTAGTATTAGTATTAGTATTAGTAATAGTATTAGTATTAGTATTAGTATTAGTATTAGTATTAGTATTAGTATTAGTATTAGTATATGTATGAGTAGTAGTATTAGCATTAGTATTAGCATTAGTATTAGCATTAGTATTCGCATTAACAAATATTATTAGTATTAGTACCAGTATCAGTATCAGTATCAATATTAGTAGTAGGAATAGCATTAGTATTAGTATTAGTATTAGTATGAATATTAGTATTAGTATTAGTAGTAGTATTAGTATTAGTATTAGTATTAGTATTAGTATTAGTAATAGTATTAGTGGTTAGATTAGTATTATTATTAGTATTAGTATTAGTATGTGTATTAGTATTAGTATTAGTATTAGTATTAGTATTAGTATTAGTATTAGTATTAGTATTAGTATTACTGTTAGTATTACTAGTAGTATTAGTATTAGTATTAGTAGTAGTATTAGTATTAGTATTAGTATGAGTATTAGTATTAGTATTAGACTTAGCATTAGCAGTAGCATTAGCATTAACAGTAGTAGTAGAAGTAGAAGTAGTAGTAGTAGTAGTAGTAGTAGTAGTAGTACTATAATTAATATTATTCATAATAATGATAATACTGAATGGTATTACTGATAATAATAGCATCAGTAGCAGTATTAGTTGAATTAGCCTTGTTAGTGTTATTACAATATTAATACTACTAGTAGTACGATTACTAATATCAGTATCAATAGCATGAATACTAGTTGCATTAGTACTCTTAGTATTCGTAGCATTATTAGTCTTAGTAGTATTCTGACTCTGAAGTACATTCATTATTATTGATCTATTATTATTATTATCCCTCTTCCTCCTCCTCCTCCTCCTCCTGCTCCCCCTCCCCCTTCTCCTCCTCCTCCTCCTCCTTCTCCTCCTCCTCCTCCTCCTCCTCCTCCTCCTCCTCCTCCTCCTCAGATGTGCAACAGCCAGAGCACGCGGGCCACTTGTGCTGTGCATTCGATACACGGAAGATCAGGCCCCTATTACTCCGTGTATCCGATACACGGAATAATAGGCCGCTGTTACCCCGTGCACCCGATACACGGAAAGTAGGCCGCTATTGCTCCGTGTATCGCATGCACGGACTCAGAAGCCACTATTACTCTGGTTATCCGATACACAGAAAAATATCCGTGTATCGGACACACGGAGCAATAGGGGCCGATTCGTTCGTGAATTGTGAATTTCAAAAAAAAAAAAAAAAATGATGCGTCAAAGAAATGCCTTTTTCGGGCGCCGCGCCCGGAGGAGGCTCACCTGCCGTCCGCCCCCTCGCCCGCGGCCGCGCCAGGCTCGCCCTCACGCCCTTCCCGGGCCGACCTGCGCGCGCGCGCGCCGCGCGCGGCCCTGCGGGGGGCGAGCCTTCGCCCCGCGGCCCGTGGCCTCTCTCGGCCGCCTTCGGCCGTCGTCCCCCGTCGCCCTCCCGGCCCTCGGTGCCGCCCCCCGGCGCCCTGGGCCTCGCTCGGCCGTCGCCCTCCCTGACCAGGGCCTCGCTCGGCCATCCTCGGCCGACGTCGCCCGGCGCCCTCGGCGCTGTCCAACGAGGGACGTGAAGGTGGGGGCGGGGGCAGAGGCGGGGTTCGAGAAACATCGCCCTCAGCGGCCCCTGGAAACAGGAGATGTGAGCATCCGGCTGGGGTCGTTCCCTCACCCCGCCTTGGGATACTCCCCCTCTAGGGATCCCCGACGTCCAAAGGCCCCCTCGGCTACATGCGAGAGTGACCCTAGGCAACAGTGACCGTCAGTGCGCGGATCAACGGGGCGCAAGGTGGTCAACTCCAAGCGCGCAAGCAGTCACTGTCGCATCGCGCTGAGCGATCGGGGGGACCCCAGTGAGCCCGCACCACAGGCCAGTCTGGCGAAGGGTCACTCTTACACTTGTAGTCAAGCACCCCCGCCGCTCTCCCCGCCCGCTCGGCGCCCGCCAGGCCGAGCTCGATGGCACGAGCGGCGGGAGGGCCGCGGCAGGCGGCCGCCGCGCAGCAGAGGCGCGGGCGCGAGGGCGCCGCCGAGGGGGGGCACGAGGGCGCTGCGCCTCGGCGCGGGAGCAAGCTCTGCGGCGGAGGGGGTGAGCAGCCCAGGGGCGGGCACTGCACGTGTCGTTCACTGGGGAGCCTCGTCGAAGGCCTGGGCGGCCGGAGCCCGTGGGCAAGGTGCCCGCTGGGCTGTCCACGAAGAGGTCGGGGCCCTCTCCTCCTCCTCCTCCTCCTCCTCCTCCTCCTCCTCCTCCTCCTCCTCCTCCTCCTCCTCCTCCTCCTGCTCCTCCTGCTCCTCCTCCCCCTCTTCCTCCTCCTCCTCCCTCCTCCGCCTCCTCCTCCTACTCCTCCTCCTCCTCCTCCTCCTCACTCCTCCTCCTCCTCCTCCTCCTCCTCCTCCGCCTCCTCCTCCTCCTCTCCTCCCCCCCCCCACTCTCCTCCTCCTCCTCCTCCTCCTCCTCCTCCGCCTCCTCCTCCTCCTCCTTCTTCTCCTCCTCCTCCTCCTCTCTTGTTTTTGTTGTCAGTCGCATTCTTAATATTAGTATTAATAGTCTGAGTCTTCTTATTAATAGCATGAGCATTGTTCGCATGTGAATTGTTCGCGTGAGTCGTCTTGTTCGTCATATCATTACTAGTATGATTCGTTTTATACGTGTTATGTGTGTTCATCGTATGATCATGTTTCGCATCCGCATTATTATCCGTAGTCTTCTGAGTATGGTTCGTTTTAGTATGGTCGTGATTAATAGTAGTACTAGTATTAATGTTGGTATTAACAGATGACTTGATCGTCATCTGCGTCGTATTGTTCGTAGTATGCTCAGTTGTATTACTACTAGTGCTATTAATGTTAGTAGTCGCATTCGTACTCTTACTCATGGGAATGATGTTAGCATTCGTGCTCGTATTATGCATCGTATTAAGATTCGTGATCTGCTTATGTGTATGATTCGTCGGGTTATGGTTCGTCTTGGTATTCTTGGTGTTCGTCTTCTTCGTCGTATTATTGATTGTAGTTGTCCTCCTCCTCCTCTTCCTCCTCGTCCTCCTCCTCC